ACGAAATAGAGGTACTAAAAAATCTTAACGACAAGGATATAAAACAGGTAATAGAATCAAAGGATACTTTTTATTGCAAAAGGACAGAAACGCTACTTTCTATTGACAAATTGGTGTGAAAGGTTTATTATTTTACTGATGATATTTATGTAAGCCTAATGGACTTACAGGAGATATGTAGAATCTCTTCTCTTTTTCTGTCAGAATCCTAAGGGGACCGCCATGCCCAAGAGGTAATTAAAACAACAGATGAGCGTTTATAAACATTTTTTTTTATTGCTGGCAAATTTATAGCTGTTACTTTTTCCCAGTACAAATGTCTAAACCCTCTCCTTTGCAAGCAAATGGTCTTGTCAAATATTTCCAGCAGCAAAAACTTTTGTCGAGTTTACACTCACTGAGTTCATGAGAGTTTACACTCACTGAGTACATGATGTGGTGGTGTACATGCAGGCTAAAGAGGGGGAATTGGCCAGATGAGTATGCTTTCAGGCTAGCACCAACAATTGCTTTTTTTTGTTTGAAATCTGATTTGCAACACTTCTATTCAGTAGTGGGGACCGAGGTGAGAGTGAAGGTCTGGGTGTGATTCTAGGGCCATATCCACACGGGGGTGGGGCTTCTCGAGGGATTTACAGAGTTCACAGTTCAGCCGGATAAGTGTTATGAGGGAGAGGCGTTGCTTAAGAACTACAAATTGCCATTCCAGAACAAACTTTAAGGAACAGATCCGTTGAATGAGATCAGATTCGTTGCATGCATCTAAATATAATTTAGACTCTAGGCCACCACTCAACGTTCCTTTGCTAGTTTCCGCCAATTAATTGATCGATGTTTCTTGACTTAATGAGCAGTATTATTGATTACTTCACTGAATTATTTTCACGGAAGGTATGTACATTGCGTATTGATTAACAGACTCGAGAATTTGCTTAAGAACGTCAAACCCGTCAGTGCATGGGTTCTTATTTAATAAGAGATATAAGGTGAAATCTCATTCCTTTTGTCGCAGCGGTTTGAAAATCAACAATTTGATCAAGACAACAAACGAAACAGTGCTGACTTTTCTGAACCACCTCGTGCTTTCAACTGGACAGCCCCTGGGACGGTTCCAAGTGCATCTTCACACCCCGAGCAATGCACAGTGGAAGTTTTTGGACTTCCACCCAGCGCATCCGAGGATCTGGTAATGAATTATTTCGAGAATGCCAAGCAATCTAAGGGAGGCCCTGTGTCTACTGTAGTCATAAATCCCGTATCTCAGAAGTGCCTGGTGACTTTTGAATCCGCTGAGGGTAAGTCAGGTGTCTTAACACGCTTTCAGAAGTTGTGCTTATCGCGCTACCAAATCGGCTAACATGATCATTTTTACCAACTAACAGATCATTAAATTATGAAATTGATGGGATCCGATCCATGGGACGTTTTAATCGAATGAGGAAAATAATTTAACATATCAAATAAACGGAATAGGGGTCAGGGCGTAAGTGCTCACGGTGAAACAGTAACTCCTTTTGTCTGCCAGGGATTGGAACGCCCTAAACATCCAAAAAGACGTGCCTTGTTTATTCTCATCAATATAATTTCAATCAAAAAATAGACTGATCCATTTTTTATATATTATTCTCTTCCCTGATGCGTGCATACATATATAGCACTTTAGTAGCTGATGAAATCTTCAATTCATTATAATATTACATTATAGATATATATATTTATATAATAACCCAAGTTATTCTTGCATTCTGATTGGTTCTCGCCTATCATCTATTAGAAGACAGATGCACGATTGACGTCATCATTTCAAAGTTTTTCCCTCTGGGTTTTAAAATGGCGGAAAGTTTTGAGAATTTAGATAATATTTTACATGACTGGGCAAAAGATAAGTTACAAGAAAGTCTTGTCCAGGCATTGAACAGGTAGCAGAAGCATAGTCTAGCAGGAAGAAGAAAGATAAAGCCGTTTCTGTTTTAGAAAATGACTCAGAAAAAATACTCGAGCAGTCTTAGTCGGCAGTCGAGCGAGACTAAACCAAACACAAAATTAGTCTTGGTAAGCCGAGAACCATTGCTTTATCTCAAATTTAACAAACCCAATAAACAAAATGTTTATAAGATTAATTTGTTTCAAACTTTGAACTTTTCTCAGTCTCAAAATAATTGTTGACACAGGGATTGTCTGGAATGAAATATCGTAGCCACTTCTTAAAATCAGTTAAAATAAACACATAGTAGTAGTAGTAGTAATAATAATAATAATAATAATAATAATAATAATAATAATAATAANCTCTACTTTAAAAATAATAATAATAATAATAATAATAATAATAATAACAATAATAATAAAGTTTTTTGGGCGCATTTAAAAAACTCAATGCGCTTACATTACTATAAAAAATAAATTAGTCAAATCCTATAAAATATTTCTAATAACAGTAATAAATAAAATAAATGAAAGAATTAATTAAAATGAAGTTTTTCTGCTGTTCATCGGTTAGTGCCCACTTGTTAAACAAGTCTAGGCCATAATCTCCTGACCACAGTAACGCATATTTGCACTTCTGAGTGCTTTCTCGACTTTTTAATGGTCCATCAAGTAGAAGCTCTCACTTTTGGCGAATCCCTTGAATCTAGTTAACAAATCTGGGCCAGGGGTCCAGTCCATTTTTGGTACTTCGAAACCGACTAAGTCGCTCATTTTGGGAGACCATGAAGGATACTATTACAGTAGTCCAGACGGGATATTACAAGCGCATTAACTAACAGTTTGAGATGTTCCTTGGTGAGGTATTTGCGTTAGTTGATTTCTTACACGTCTCGTTTATGTGGTATGTCAGTGATAGGTTTTTATCTAAATTAACACATGAAGATCACGAACTCTCTCAGTTAGTTCAATGACGGTATTGTCAAAAGAGAGCTTCTCGATGTTAGGTGTCTTGGTGAACCGGGATGTAAATAGTATAACCTCGGTCTTTTCAGCATTACTTCTTAGCATGTTTTGCGTGTTCCATCGCATTACATCCTCTATACAACTTCAGAGGGCAGTCAGAGACAGGGCCTGATTTGCAGGATCAATAGCTATATATAGTTGAGTGTCATCTGCATAAAACAAAGAATTCAAATTATGGCGAGCAATTACATCTTGAAGAGGGGCGATATACAGGGTGAAAAGTAATGGTCCAAGTATAGACCCTTGTGGGACACCATAACGTAGAACACAAGGAGTGGACACTTGATCTCCAATGATTATTAATTGCCGACGGTTTTCAAGGCAAGATCTGAACCAGCAGAGTGTCAATTTTGAGAAACCAAAGTAACACTCAAGTCTTTCCACCAAGATCGTATGATCAATAGTATCAAAGGCCGCTGATAAATCGAGTAAGACTAATACAACATCTTGGCGACGGTCAATCGTTCTAAGAATGTCATTTGTCACACGTAGCAAGGTCGTTTCCGTAGAGTGGTGTTTCCTATATGCAGACTGCATAGTTGGCATCAAATTGCAAGCTTCAAGGTAGTTGTACGTTTGTGTTGCGACAACCTTTTCGATCACTTGGCTAAGGAGCGGAATATTAGCAACAGGTCTGTAGTTCTTAAGAATTTCCTTGTCGAGGTTATCCTTTTTCAAACGTGGGCGCACGTGTGATAACTTCAGGAATGAAGGAAACTCCCCCGTTGTTAGTGACTGATTGACTATGTTAGTTATCATAGGAGATAAAACATCAACATAATTCTTTATAACAAAGGTGGGAAGTGGGTCGAGAGAACATGTTTTTGTGGAAAGAGACTGAATGGTGTTCTTAATGGTAGAGCAGGACACAGGCGTCATCGTGAATTCGTGAGCTACGACTGCATCCTGGAGTTCGTCTCTAATGGATTGGATTTTCCCGATAAAGAATTCGTTAAAATCTCCAACCAGTACTTCCAAAGATGTATAGGAAGGAAGGGCTGAGCTTCCTGGTTGAAACAGCTTGTCGACCATTCGAAAAAGCTTATTTCTTCCAGCTTGTTCGATATCGCTTTCCGATGCGAATATTCCAGTTCCTTTCAGGGCACAGCAGCGAGCAAAGTATAGCTCACTACAGCTCACGGCCAACTGTATCGCAGCTAAAAGGTATCTCCGACACTATTTCAAACTGATTTGAGAATCACCAATCACAGAGGACACAAATTTCCACCATCACTAACGCTCATTTCATTCAAAAATCGAATCGAATGGCCTCAAGATTGACCGTAACCGCAAGTTTTCCGAGCGTATTTTTCAACTCTTGTAATATTCAAGGCAACTCCAAACTTTTTGGTTCACATGGCTGCTCTGATGACAAAAACTGACTTGACTTTCCAGCACTTTCTTTAAGATTTGTAGATTTCGCAGCTCAATTCTGCTTTCACTGTAAGTTTTCATTCTACGAGAAGCGACGCTCGAGTCAAGTTTGACAGTGGCGTGATTTTCCTGGACCAATCACAATTCTTTGCTGTGCATAGCAACCAATGAGATTGCTTCATTTTGTATAGACAATATGTTACGTCAAATGGCTTTTTTCGTGTTCGTCAAAGTGGGCAAAAGCTGGCTTTGGAGTTACAACTGTATGTTGAAAGATTTTGAAATAAAAAAGCCTTATCTGTAGTAGTTTGTTTCGTTGTTATATAAAAGAAATAGATTCCATGTTGCAGTGCGTCTGTTCAGCAATAGATCACAGAAGACGCCAAAATGTGGTAAGAACATCAATGACGCACTCGGCTATCCCCTCGTGTGCCACTTTGTTCTTACCACATTTCGACGTCATCTGTGACCTATTACTGAACAGACGCACGGCAACATGGAATCTATTTGTTAAATATATCTGACCGATTTTCCAAAAACATGCCCGCTATTTTGGTGCAAAGTCTTTAACACGGTTTTCATAAATTCAGACATATATTGGCACAGAATGACCGAAACTGATCAAGGAATTCCCTAGTTTGACTCTAGATGCTTTAGAAAGATCGACAGAAATTAGACACGTTCGTTTTTCGACCTTTGGCTACCAAAAAGGTAACCCACTCCTCAGTTAAACTCCATTTTACACTGAAGCGTTGGGTCTACATCAACAATATGATCGCGTGCTGACAACGGTTAACATAACGGTTAAAATAATATGCTCGCATGATGAAAACGGTTGAAATGAACAGCGCGCGCGCTTGCAATACCTAAGTCGCACCGAGTGCTCGCGCTAAATTTACAAACTTTGATATGTGCTACGTTTAACGGTACCTTAGAATGAACTTAAGCCGGTACCTACATGTTGAAATCAGCTCATTTCGCTTGTTTAGGTTTGCCATGTGTGGCTTAGTTATTAAAAAGAATTTCTCAGTGGCACGAAGATTACAACGTTTTTTATACATTGTTTGTTTCTGTTTATTAAAGGGGAAGAGGAATGAGAGTCTTCTGTGATAAAATTCCTTATTCCTCCATCTCAAAATGTGCACTTCACTTCTTTACTCCCATCTTCCTAAGTAGAGGTCTCGGTGTTTGGGCTATTTAGAGATGTTAGGATAAATATATATATCGCTACGATAGCACAATTTTTAAACTTTAAACATTACAAAGGGTTCACTGGGTCATGGCAGATTTAAATTTGTCAATTTCAGACGCCATCAGAACGTTGGAACACTCCCCTCACACTTTAAGTGGTGCAAGTCTCCAAGTTTCGCTGTATGAAGAATTCGAAGATGAAAATCCTGATGACTTTGACGAAAACACAGTGGGGGAAGACGGCTGTACTGATGAAAATGATATCATCATAATTGTCAGCGGCATCTTACCGTCTACTAGCGAGGACGCCGTAGTAAACTACTTTGGGAATTCGAGACGATCTGGTGGAGGTGAAATTTCCAACGTCCATTATACTGACGACGGGGAAGCCATAATAACTTTTCTTGAGGTGAAAGGTATGTGAGATATTGGCGCTTCCTGTATTTCTGAATCATATAGAAGTAGTTATGTGTTGTATGGTATGCGTTGTCAAAAGGAATTAAGAGAATTCCCACTTGGTAGAAAAATAACCATGAAATGATGGAAAACTAGTTAATAACGAGTGCGCCCTGTCGTCTACAGTAGAGTAGGAGTAGTTCACGACAACATTGACTGACTGATTGATGAGTTGGTTAACTGATTGAAGATGGTTAACTAATTAATCAGTCTATTTTAGATAGTTAATAAACTTGATAAACTTTGCTTACTTGTTTGCTTGCTCTCTTGATCCATTGATCGATCTATGTTACTATTTCTTTTGTATAAAAAAAGCTTTTATTTTATCGGTAGCCCATACGGTACAGATCTAGGGTTATTGCAGTCATTATGCATTTTTTACATTTGCGTCACATTGTAAGATCAAGCATTAACTTTCTTTTTGATCTTTGGATATTTGGAAACAACGCACTGTATAAGAAAACGTGCAGTGCGGTGAGGACCGTTTATCTAATATAACTGCGGTTCATATATAGCTAGCGTTAAAACGGTTTTCAAATGAGTGTCGTAAAGCCAAAACCAAGGTAATTACTCTAGCTAATCTCAAAGGACCAGACAATCCAAGTAAATGTTTGCAGCAGACGCCAATTGTATTGTACTTGGCAAGCAGGCAACAGGACACATTAGCCAGAAATCCTTATATTGTTGTTTCTGAATCAACAGATTTAGAACGACTGCTTGAGAAGCCACATGCAATCGACGGAAAAGCTATAACAGTTGTACGCCAGCTTCCCAAGAAAAAGTTACCACTTGACCCAGTTAAAGTTCACGTACGCGGAATCAGCGAAAAGACCACTGAAGACTGCTTACGGTTTTACTTGGAGAAGTTCAGTGACACTAAAGTCGTGGAAGTGTATCTTGGTCGTAGCAACGACGCGCTTGCAACTTTTGAATCTGAACCAGGTAATTTTGAATCAGTTACATTTATTTTCACTACAACTGAGACAATTGAGGGGCGCTTATTGATCGAGAGCTACGATCGATGAGGATATGGACTGTTAAAATGACGCGCGTTCAATGTAACGCAGCGTTTGTAACGCAGCTATCGGAGAACTGATAAAAGTTTTGCGACTTCCGATAAACTGAAACCATACAAGTTTTGGGATTGTCAACTGGGGTATAAGAAACTAAATTTTCGAGAACATGGTCGGCTAAGAAGTGAAAAGTTACGAACTGTCACGCGCTCGCCCGATATTACACTGATTTTCGCTGTTGCCGTAAAAATAACTAAAACGCAAACAGACAATCTCATCACATTTTTTTCATGGGCTACATTCGTATGGAAATGACGTCGTGTCACGAGCAATGTCCAAAACTTTGTAGTGAATTATTAAACTAGAATTTTAGGATTGCAGTATGACGTCATTTCTGCCAATTGTAAAATTTTAAGTATGATCAAATTATTGGACTCAGCGATGAGGTGCTTAACTGAGAGAGTAAAATTGTGTTTTAGAAAGCAAAAAAACCAATAAATCAAATTGAAAGCTGTTTTCTATATTTTTCAGATTTTAAATCGCTGTTCTTCAAAATAAACGAAGATAGAAAAGGTCTCGAAGGAAAGAAACCTCAGTTGAAGCGTGTGCATATCTGCTCATGTATTCTAGTGACAGGATTGAAAAAAGAAACAACTAATGACACAATAGCATTGTACTTCGAAAACGAAAAACGGAGTGGAGGGAAAGACGTCAGTCACGTGGAAAGAAAAGGAAAAGACCAAGCCTTGGTTTATTTTGAAGATCCCTCAAGTAAGATACATTTATTATTCAAGCTAAGAACTGATTAACAATAAGCAACGATGTGCAGACTAAATCTACCTCAACTCGTTTGATTCCTATCAGTACAGCGACAGGTGGCAAATTATATGTACCACAATTACAAACCACTCAATGCTATAGATTTCAGTTGTTTTCACTCACAGTTACCTATGTTTTGTTTGCGTAGCACAAGCCAGGCAGCATCCGTTGAGGATTAAAGCTAAACAAACGTCCATTAACAGTACAAAAGTTCAGACTAATACGGCAAGGCCTCAGTTTGAGATTTTCCCGTAACGACCTCACTCTCGGTTATTAAGTAGTTAATCATTCACAATGCAGTTACTCGGACTGACCTTTTTCATTAATGGTGACGGTAATGGGTAATAGGTTTTGAACTTTTGTATTGTTCTTGAAAACGCTACCGAACAACAACATCCACAAAGCATCTTCTACTTCACAGTAAAAACAAGTACAATTAAAACATCTCGAAATTAGGGGCCAGATTTCAGCCGCAGTTAATTTACACAGTATAATACTTCAAATAACTGAAGCGTTAATTCTCAAAGAGTATCATCCAATCTTATCATTTTATTGTCTCTTTTCTTCACAGGTGTTCGAAATGTCACGGCCAAGAGTCAATCTCAAGGCCATACCCTTGAAGGACAAAACTTGGATGTGAAGCCACACTATCCTTTCCTTGAAGATACTTCAACGCAAAAAAAGGAAATCCCTTTTGATTCAAAAGTCTTTGAATATATTCAGATGTGTTATGGGCCTGAACTGCTAACGTTGCTCAAAGAGCACGAAGTACATGTTGAACTCTCAAGGGATTCTCAGAACTCGATCATCACTATCTCTCCTTCAGGAAAAGGCAAAAGAGACTCTGAACAGTCGTGGAAAGAAAAGACAGAGATCTTGGAATGTTTCTTGCATAGCTTTAAGATAGATGAAATTTCCATTGATTCAGAAATCGTCGACGAGATAGCACAACGTTGGCAGAAGTACAGCTCCAGTCAAGGACCAACAGGTTTTGTCTCTTTTGATGATCACAGGCGAATAGCCCTCCTCGTTGGTAAAAAGGTATTCGTGGATCAAGAAAAGAATAAGTTGCAAGGGCTGATTGACGAAGTTAAAGAAGACAAGAAGTTCATGAAGTCTCTGGTACAAGTCACCGTAACCAACATCCCCAAGTCCAGGCTTATTCTGTTAGAAATGTCAGGTCTGTGTCAAACACTTGCGCAAAAGCATGGCCATTTGAACATCAACGTCGATAGCGACGGTCAAAAACTGTGTTTAAAAGGTCCTAGAAAACTTCTTCAGCAGGTCAAAGTGGAAGTAATCACTTTTATTTCGAAGGTAGTCGAGCAGACAACTGAGCTACCGCCCAACGTCATCAATGTTTTAAAAAGAAAAGACGTTTCCGGATTTATACAGGACCTGTTAAGACAGAGGTCCATACAAGCGGTAGTCCTTTTCGATCAAAGTCAAAGTTCCAACGAGGTTCAGGTGGTTGGTGTTGATTCAAGGAGCACAAAAGCAGCTGAAAATGAGTTGCAGAGTGCCATTGGTGAGAAGAGTCTCCATTTGACACCTGAGAATGCCCAACTGCTTGGGACTCGCAAGTGGAAAGATCTTCAGTCTTCGCTGACATCAACATTTAAAGTTGGAATAACAGTTGATAATCGTGCCGGCACTATATGGGTCAGTGGAATTGCCAAAGATATTGAAGAAAGTTACCATGCAGTAAAGATGTTTTTGGGGATCAACACAATGTTACATGCCACAGTCCCAACCGAGGCAGGATCCGCAAAATTCATTTCCACAGTGTGGAAAGAAAAGCTTGATGGCATTAAAAGAGTACTCTCAGGTTTTTCAATTGACATGAGAGTTACCGCTGATTGTAAAGGGATTGAAGTTTCTGGCACCGCCGAAGGACTACAGAAGTGCTTGCCACGATTTCACGAAGTCATTGATGCTGGTAAGAAAGACTCTGTTACAGTTGACAAGCCTGGGGTGAAGAAATTTTTCTTAGCGGAGAAAGGGCCTAGTTTCCTGAAAACAGCAGAGGAAAAAAACAAGTGCGTTATCTTGGCCACTGAATGTAGTGCGGATGAAGCCGGTGTAGATGCAGAGGCTGAGGAAGAAGAAGAGAAAGAAGTACGGTCGACCGCAGAGTTGTTTTGTAGCTACTCGACAAAAGAGGGGAAAACCATTTCAGTCATGAAAGGAGACATAACGAAAGATCGCGTAGATGTCATTGTTAATGCCGCTAATGGTGAATTAAGACACGTTGGAGGCCTTGCAGCAGCTATTGTAAAAGCAGGTGGTAAAAAGATTCATGACGAGTGCAACGCTTTTGTGATAGAGATTGGTCCTCTACTTGAAGGTCAAACACATATTACCACCGCCCGAATGTTGCCTTGCAAACACGTTATCCATGCTTATGGACCTAGATGGGATTCCGAAGCGGACAGAGCAAGAAGAAATGAAGAAGAAACGAAGCAGGAACGTTGCCTGAGGCATGCAGTCGCAAGTTCTCTCAAAAAGGCAAGAGACCTGAGATCAATTGCAATTCCAACAGTCAGTTCTGGTGTGTTCAACTTTCCTTGCGACCTTTACGTTAAAGTCATTTTGAATACTGTCCTCGAATTCTGCAAAGAAGACCCACATTGCAAGCTATCAGAGATCCACCTAATCAACAACGATGACGCAACAGTGAAGGTGTTCGCGGATGAATTGAGAAGGAGATTTAGAACAGAGAGGAATTTTACCGATCTGAAGAGTAGCAAACCTGCAACCTCTGTGGCTGGAATTGTTAGTAGAGCAAAGGGAATGGCAATGATGGGGCCTCCGAGATCCTTGATAACTCAAGGAATTCGTATCACAGTGAAAAGCAGCGACCTGGCCAAAGAACAGGTATTCATGGCTAAAATGTTT